ATATTATTATATAATATTAAATTTCGTAAGTACAAATTATCATATGCATCATATAATCGAATTATTTAAAATACTGAAAAATATAATTAATCGTATTTATTAAATATTTCATATTTTGTCCATTTATAAATGTACAAACACAAAAAATGTATACACGAAACAACGTCACAAATAAGCATTGAGCTTACTACCATTAAATAAATAGAGAGTGCATCAGTGCTGTGCTCTATGTTAGTTAAATTCAAATCTAGCGGGAAGTTCAGATCCAGTTAAATCTATTCACCGTATAACCTCCATAAATTTCATTCAATAAATTTCTTTATATAGTTTTATTTATTCTTACTAATGAAACATGAATTTACCCGCGAAAATAAAGAAATTAGATGAAGTTGTAGTAAATAGAATTGCAGCTGGTGAGATCATTCAGAGACCAGCAAATGCATTAAAAGAATTAATAGAAAATAGGTATTATTTGAATACAATAAAATCTTTACATTTCTATTATTATTATATGTATTTTTATATTTTAGCCTGGATGCTAAAGCTACAAATATTCAGATAATAGTGAAAGAAGGAGGACTGAAATTATTACAGGTATTTATATTAATTTGTATATTAAACATGTTATTAAAATGATATCAACAAAATATTTGCATTGTAGATTCAAGATAATGGCACAGGTATTAAGAAAGATGATATGGATATTGTATGCGAAAGATTTACTACAAGCAAATTACAAAATTTTGAAGATCTCAAAACGATATCAACATTTGGATTCCGTGGAGAAGCTTTAGCAAGTATTAGTCACGTTGCACTTTTAACTATAACAACTAAAACGTCTGATGAGAAATGTGCATATAGGTATTATATTTAACTTATAACAATAAACCGATAGAAATGATAGTTTTCGTTGCATTTAAATAATTATATTTTAGAGCGATGTATATCAATAGTAAATTGAAAGAACAACCGAAACCATGCGCTGGTAATCAAGGTACAACGATCACCATTGAAAATTTATTTTACAATGTAGCAACTCGGCGGAAAGCATTGTCCAACTGGTCAGAAGAATTTGGTAAAATTACGGACGTAGTTATAAAATATGCTATACATAATCCTACAGTTGGATTTACATTAAAAAAACATGGAGAGACAACGCCACAAGTAAAATAATCATTTAAAGTTATTTCATAACTTAAATGTATTTAAAATAGTATTTATATATTTTAATTATTTATATTTATATTTAAATTGAATTATATTATTGTAAGGTTCGAACGACACATAATTCTACTAAAATGAATAATATAAGAATATTGTATGGAAATCCAGTGGCAAGAGAGTTGTTAGAAATTGAATTTCAAGATGATAGTTATCAATTTAAAATGCATGCGCTGATAACAAATCCAAATTACACAAGTAAACGAATGATATTTTTATTATTTATTAATAATCGTCTTGTAGAATCTACTCGTAAGTATATTACAAATATAATTTTTAGAATTATAAAAAGTTGCTACCTTATTAATATAAATGTTCTTTGGTATAGCAATTAAAAAAATGTTAGAGGAGATGTATGCGATACATCTGCCAAAAAAAACTCATCCATTTGTTTATTTATCCTTGGAAATTAATCCTAATAATGTTGATGTTAATGTACATCCAACAAAACATGAAGTTAGATTTCTCCACGAAGACATTATAATAGAAAAAGTTAAATTGGCTTTGGATGAAAAATTAACCGGTGACAGTGCATCAAGAACATTTTATATGCAAGCACGTTTGCCAAAAGTTGATGTCACTGAAAAAACTTTGAAAGAAATTTTACCTGAATTCGAGAAAAATAATTCAGGAAAACAGAAAAAAATATACGATAAAGAATTGATTAGAACTGATTCTGCTGATCAAAAACTTGATAAGTTCAATTTTACCATTCATACTGCTATGAAAATAGCTAGAGATAATAATTTAGAACAAATAGAAGAATCTAATCTTCAAACTGAAAAGATATTGAAATTAAATATATCAAATGATACTAAAAATAATGCTGCTGCAAATGATATTTCTGTAAATGAAAAAGAAGTGAATATATCAAATAAAAATGCATTACACGAAAAACATTTACAAAATAATGAATCTGTACATTTAAGTGCCATCATAGACCAATCAACGCCATCAATCTTATCTGAGCCAATTGCATCTACATCTAATAATAATATTAATCCAAATTCTTTTAAGAAAGAAACAATTTTATTAATGTCAGAATCTGAATCAGATGATTCAGGTAATGAAGAACAATATGGAGTAAATAAATTTAATGAATCGGTTGCAAAAAATGCACGTAAAAGAGTATGTCAATATTTCGGTAATAAAAGTATTGAAGATTTGGAAAGAGAACAGCCACCGAAAAATCCAGTTACTAATATAAAAAAAGAAAATAATGATAATAAAATAGAACAATTTAATAAACAATGTACAAAAGATAAAGTTGATTGCGTATCTCAACTAAACGTTGTTACCAAAGAAGAAGATAAATCGGTACGAGAATTCAAATCTTATTCTATAAACAATTTTAGAAGAGAAGTAAAATTAACTAGTGTGTTAAAATTAAGGAAAGAAGTAGAAGATAATTGTCACCAAGGATTGAGAGAAATTTTATCTAATTTAATATTCGTTGGATGCATCGATGAAATATCCGCGTTGGTACAAAGTGGCGTAAATTTATATATATGCAATACAAAAAAATTAGCGTGAGTTTTATCTTCCGATATATTTTTGATATGTAATTAAAACTGAAAAAAAAAAAGAAGGAACTTAATTTTGTTTTCTATACATTTAGCGAGGAACTTTTCTACGAAATTATGCTGTATGACTTTGCTAATTATGGCGTTATGAAGTTCTCAGTAAGTTGCACGTAAAAAAAAAAATATTTTAAATAATATTTTAGTAATTTTAAAAGAATCCATGTATTATTTTTTATTAACTTTTAGGATCCAATATCTTTATATGACTTAGCTATGTTAGGATTAGAAACCGAGGAAGCAGGATGGACGGAAGAAGATGGTCCAAAAGAAGAGCTAGCTATAAGTGTAAAAGAATTATTATTAGAAAAGGCAGATATGATGAAAGAATATTTTTCTATAGTCATAGATAAAAAAGGAAATTTAAAATCATTACCAATAATATTAGGTAACAATGAGACGTTGTTAATTATTGTTCTATGATATTATATAAAAATGATATATTTATTTTCTAGATAAGTATTTTCCATTTGAAGGAGATTTACCAATGTATATTTTACGCTTATCGACAGAGGTTGACTGGACTACTGAACAAGCATGTTTCCAAAATATTTGCAGAGAAACAGCAAAATACTACAGTGAAATGAATCCTATTCATAATATGCATGACTGGAAATATGTTACAGAACATATTTTATATCCAGCAATTAGAGAAAGTTTGTTACCTCCAAAACCTTTTGCCCATGACTCAACTATACTGCAAATAGCCAGTTTACCTAATTTATATAAAGTATTTGAAAGATGTTAAGAAATAAATTCTTTCATACCATATTTTTTGTTACCTGTGATATTAGCCGTTACATATATATTGTAATATTTGGAGGCCGTATTTTCGTTACTTACACATAATTTATAATATTTTTATAATCATTGATACTTTTTTTATAATTAAATTGAATAAAGTTTACATTAAAAATGCTATAAGATATGGATAATGCAGTTTGTGTGCAATCTTCCTTCAATCGAGTACATAAAATATTTAAATATTTTTTTGTTTGTATTTATTAATATGTAAAAATTCATTTCGGGTTAAAAAAAATATCAGCAGATTTGTAAAGATATTAAAAATTATTTTGCAATGATTTGAAACAAACAAGATTGAAATTAATCTATAGAGAAATTTTACATATGTTATATAACAATCTATTAACACATTTACTACCACACTTTGCATATATGCGAGATATAGTCAATGAAACAAATAAATATATACTATATAATGATATATAGTAATATACTTTATATGTACATAAATAAATATTTGTAACATATTATCTTAAATAACTGCAAGAGGCCATGGTCTATGGTATTGGTTTTTTTAAGTAGACCGTGGTAGTAAATATGTTAACAAATAAGAAATATAGTTTATCAATTGTCATAAACTCGACGTATTTTTAATAACATTCTTAAGTTGTGTAAATCTAATAAATATCTTCTATCTTAAATTACTGAAGTATTATGTCATTTCATTTTACACCACTTAACAAATTGTTAGTTTTATATAATCTATCAATATGGAATTTAAGTATAGAAAATTTATCCTTTTGCTACGCCAACCAATGCAGGTCTAACTATCCGTTCGTGTAATTTGTACCCAACCTTCGATACAACTACGACTGTCCCTGGCTCCTTACCTTCCACTTCCTGAAAAAATTCAATAGATTTTTTTTTTTCTTTATCAGAAATTTATTAGAAGTTTCTGCTTTAAATATCTTACTTGTTGAAATAGTGCTTCATGTTGGTTTGGATCAAATTTTTCATTTATAGGATTCAAAGATACCAAACCGTGCTTCTTGAAAACCTGTTATCAAAATATATTACTGTCGTTACTAATATTTACACTATTTAATTTAATATTATAATAGATTAACTAATTATATATGTTACCTTGTGTAGTTGTGCTTCAGTCATTATTAAACCTTCATAGAGTGTTTTCAAATGTGGATTTTTATCTGTTAATTCACTCTTAGGCACACTTTCGGTAGCTTTTCCCAAAACATCCGCTACATCTAAAAGATCTTTACAGAAACCTTGAATACCAAAAAGTTTGGCATCCTCAATTTGCTTGGTCAACCGAACTCTGAGATTCTCTCCATCAGCTAATGCTCTTTTATATTTATCGTCCAATGTACTTTTGATTTCCTTAAGTTCTACTATCTCTTTATTAAGAAGTTCAATTTCTTCTTTCCACTTTTTTTCAGCTACTGTTGGTTCCTGCAACGGTGCATCTCCCTCGTTCTTTTTTTCTTCCGTTACTGTACTATATCTTGGCTTTTGCCAGGGAAAAATATATGATGTTCGAGATAACCTAGAATTAAGATTAAACTCTTGTATAAAATAAAATGATTCAAATATAAAAAAAGACTTGCTAAATGTTTCTACATTTTACTAAAAAATTTTTTCAAAATTTAAAGATAATACATTTATACAGATTTATACATTAATTAAACTATTCAATTCTCTAGTATAAAAAATAAATAAAATATAATTATTAAAATAGGATATATAATAAACAATAATCAACTAATAAATATATATTATCTAATACTTAACCTTACTCGCACACAAGTATCATTAAGAAGACAAAATGGATCGAACTTAATTAATTATATTCATAATATATTATTTTTAATACTCACCTAAGTAATGAATTTTTATTAATTTGATACATGGTATCTGTTGTGAAACGAAGTAATTTCATTGCTACCGGTATTGTAATCGAAGCCATGATTTAAAGAAGATTTCAACGAAAGTGTATACCGAATGATGAAATACTACAAATCTCGTGCTTACACAGTGGTTCTCATCCTTTAAATATACCATTCATTTAAAAATAATATATATGTATACATATTCTCTTATTATGTACTTAAAAATATTACACAATTAATTTTATTAATTAATTTCCATATTTGTTTCGATATTGATATACTAATGTTAATATTTTTTTTTTACAGTAAGCATTTAAAAAACGATTAACGAAAATTTATTTAAACAAAAGCCAAATGTATAATCGTGTTATTTTATTGGAATGAAGTGGTACAATATAATGAAATAGCATCTGTGATAATAAAGGCGGTTGCTGTAATATCTCATTAAAACTTGCAATATTATTATTGTTTAATTTTTAAAATTAAGTCATTATATTCCAGTGTAGCAGGACAAATATTACTAACAGTGAGACCTTCATTTTATAATCTAAATCAATATTCACAATACAAATTTAAACACTTTATATGTATATATACATATATATTTATACACCGTACCGTATTTTTGTTTATATCCGCATAATATAAATCTGATGAATAAATCTCGTATTTTTCATCATTTAACTATGCCGGACTAAACAAGTAAATGCATGTAATATTCTTTAATTTCACTGATAAAACTAGTCGAACTAATAAAATATAATATTAAAATTTTTTGAATCTAATTGAAGTATAATTGAAATCTAATATAAAAGCATTTATCAATTCTTTTTTTTCTAATAATCTATGATATGAAATAAAGTATTTTTGTTCACTCGATCAAATGATCATAGTAACGATAATTAGAAAATAACTTGAATCATAAATTTCCACACACATAACGTGTATCATACAATTTCTATTTATACTTAGTCTGTTGAGATTAATCCAAAGTATTGATAATATTAAGATATATTTTTTATTGATTATAATAATCATTAAAATATTTATCATGTATGTGGAAAAAAGCTAAATTATATAATTTATGAGTCTTTATATTGAAAATTATCTTTTTACAAAATAACAGCAACTTGTAATTTTCATTATCTTAATATTTATAAATTAGAACAATTTGATTTGTTTTTTTTTCTTTTATTAGACCTAACTTTTATATTAAGTTACGAAGTTATTTCTTCTTGTTTATTTTTTTCTTTTTTTTGATAATTTGTAATTATAAGTTGGGTCCCCCTTTGAATAGTGTATCTATCACATTTATTTGTAGTTCCTCTATATATGTCTCACTGCTTTTAGAGTAACGTTGTCCGTCACCCTGTAACATATTTCATAACTACTAAACCACAGCAGCATAGCTGTGCACGAAGAGACTGAGAAGCACTTGTGCATGATACCAGCAACCGTACATTTTAACATAGAAAAAATTAAATAAATACGTCGTATATGAGAAAACGGGAAAAGGGACTGATACGTTTACAATGAATGAATTAATTAATATCCAAATCCCTACATATATTGTAGGATAAAAAGTGAGACAAAGACAAGACAGAAACTCTGACGCAACCCTGGCTAAACAGGCTACAAAAATGGTAGTTTCTTTTTTTTTTTAATTTCTCTTTAATTACGTAAATAACGTAATACGTTTACGTATCATGTGTTTGGTGTATTCCTTTAACATTTAATACAAAAATTAATCTATTTTTTTTCCTAGCGTGACATTCGAAATGTGTAAATGTCTTCCAACAAATTCTACTGGTAAAATCACTTAACCACTAGATTTTATTAAATGTACATAAATAATTATTTATCATTCAATTGTGTCTTAATTGCGATCCATTTTTCAATAGATTTTAAATTATTTTCCTTTCTCTTTCCTATTTTATTTCAAGCTGCGGATATTTTGTTTTATGTTATAGCATCCTCCAAGCTTCCCTTCATATTTTGATGAGTCGCAATTTCCTTGAATTCTATTTTAGCATCACATTTTATAAAGATGAAATTGAAGAGCAAGAAACATTACTCTCAAGTCACATTTTCTAATCGGTTATGTGACATATTTAGATTTTGATATTCCAATCAATTATATGTCTTTCTCAGTGTCATTAATTATTTGATCGACAATTTTCAGCCATGTTATATGATATTTCAATATATCTAACATGTATAGAGGTTAGAATCCTTCTTGATACTGTTTCGAATCTAGTTTTGCTTGAATAACTTCTAATTGCCTCTTAGCTTCACATTGAGGAAAGTTTTGTAAATCATAATATTGTGGTGCTATCTTCAGTAACCAGTCGGCTAAAAATACAAATTTTATTTGTTGTAAATATTTGTCAATAAAAAAATTTTACTTTGTATATTTCATATATATGGCTGTATATATCTGTTCTTACGTTTAATATCAGTTACTGTTCTAATATAATTTTTGGTTGTGAGTACAAATTCATTATAAATCACCCATTCTGGTTTGTGATCCAAACAAGTACTTGGATGTAGCTGGACAATTTGATTATCTTTAATTGTTAAATAATGGCCTGTTCTTTCTAAATGAGCCACCTAGTTTGAAAATATTTATTTATTATTATTATATCGAAATAAGTATTTACAATAATGTAATGGTAGTACTTTAATTAATACCTGCATAAAGAAACCATTAACAAGGGCTTTCCTGATATTTATATAATAATCTTTCGATGTAAAATCAGTAGAAGTGCGTTGCAAAGCAAACCTATCCATTATTCTACTTAATTGCTGTCTGACATTATCTCCACTTTTCAAAGATCGGTAATTAACAAAATTATCATAACACCATTGTGGATCTTCCAAATCTAATATTTTAAGGAATAAAATATTTCATTAAAAAAAATATAACAATCCATTGCTTAAGGAATAAAAGACGAAAGCTCACTTACTTTGTTTAAATGCATGGTAGACATTGAGTAATGTTAAGTGATCACCATCGATGTGCGCAAATCTCATTTTGGCATCATCAGCTGCCTTCTTTGATTCATTCGGCCTCACAAAACACTGTGGGACTAATACAACGTCATTCATCAATACACTACCATGCTAACTTACCACGACTTTGACTCTAATTCTTTTTATAACTATTTAACTACGTCTAAAATAATTTCTTAATACTTACTTGCAATAAACAATCACATAAATAGCAAATAGTATACATATTTAGTTTACTTTTTAACCATTAACTAATGACATTGATATGTTTATAATTGTTAAAAAACTTTACCTGAAAGCATAGCAGTAATGCTAAGTATTTCATTGCTACAATTGTGATTGCAAGAAGCAATTAACATTTTGGCTAGTTGTGGATCCAATGGGAATTCTGCCATTACTGCTCCAAGATCTGTTAAATTTCCATCATCATCGAGAGCTGCCAAATAGTTAAGAAGCTCTAATGCTCTCATTAAAGTTTCAGGTGCTGGTGGATCCATAAAATCAAAATGTACCTATGATGATAAATACAAGAATATATTAAGCAATTATTATTCTATACTTTTGTAGAAATATTTTAATATATAAATAATAAGAAGTACCAAATCATCTATGCCCAACTTTTTCAGTTGCAGTACAACGCTACCAAGATTAGATCGCAAAATTTCTGGATAAGTGTTATCTTGCATTTCATTTTTATATGCCTTTTCTGTGTATAGCCTAAAGCATTTCCCTGGACGTGTGCGGCCGGCACGACCGGCACGCTGCTGCGCAGAAGCTTTACTAATTGGAGATACAAGAAGTGACTCTACACGAATCCTGGGGTTATAAACCTACCAAGAGACATATTCACTAATCAATCCATGTACCGTGGTAAATATTTAAAGAAAATTACTGGTAACTAAAGTTTACCTTCTGTTTGGCAAAACCAGGATCAATTACAAAGACAACACCGTCTATTGTTAACGATGTTTCTGCTATATTAGTTGATACTACAACTTTTCGACCTATAGCACCATTAGGTTTGTTTGGAGGAGCAGGTTCAAAAATCCTTTGTTGAAGATTTGGAGGTAATGTTGAATACAGTGGAATACATTTAAGTTCACCAACTTCGGGACCTAAATTGTCCATTTCTCTTTTGATTCTTTTGCAGGCTTCTTCAATCTCCTCTTGGCCAGTTAAAAATAAAAGTAAGTCCCCACTCACTTCTTCGCACACATGTATTTGGATAACTGTTCTAATAGCAGCTTCTAAATAATCTCTTTCTGGTTCTGGCGTATAAAAAATTTCAACTGGATGCGTCCTACCAGGTACATTCATAAGTGGCGCATTATCAAAATACTGTTGGAACTTTCCAGCATCTAAAGTTGCACTCATAATAACAAGCTTTAAATCTGGTCTTTGCTTAATCACTTCTTTTAAAACACCCATAAGTAAATCAGTAGCTAAAGTTCTTTCATGAGCTTCATCAAGTAAAATTACTTGATATGCTTCGAGCATAGGATCAGACATGCCTTCACGTAGAAGCATACCATCCGTCATATATTTCAACATGGTCTTTGAAGAACTACAATCTTCAAAACGGATACTATATCCAACTTCCTGACCTGTTTAAGATAAATATTATTAAATATTAGATATAAACATTTATATTATGTATAAATGAAGAATAATTGAATAAAACTTTACCTAAACAAACATCCATTTCTTCTGAAACTCTTTGAGCAACAGACATTGCTGCTACTCTTCTTGGTGAAGTACATGCTACGCCCTTGGCTCCTATACATCTTGAATACTCTACACACCACTGTGGTATCTGTGTTGTTTTTCCTGAGCCTGTTTCTCCTACAAGCACTATACACTGATGATTTGCTAAAAGCCTCATGAAATCAACACGATATTCAAACACAGGTAGTGTTATCCTCTTTTTATAAAATTCATGATACCGTGGCGTATAAGGTAGTCCATTGTATGGATTAATTTGAACTTGATTTTTTGGGTCAGTTGGAGTTGCAGGCACATTGTTGGATGATGATCCAATCCTAAAAAGCAATAACTTTTTTATAATTCCATAAGCATAAATGATTGAAAATTATTATAAATGTAGATTGAATGCATAATATTAGTGCAATAAGACAGATTACTAACAATCTATTATAATTATTTTATTTTCTTCTTGGACTTATAACTAATATTTATTGACACCGTTGCACGCGGTAATCGTACAAAATAAACTTGATTGAGAACCACTACGAATGAGTAGAGCAAACAATCGACGACATAGAATAGTTTTTCTTTTACATTAGAAAATATAAGCAGTTAAATTAATTCTCCTCTCTCACTTTTCATTACAAATGATAATTTTTAACACAGATGAATAATACAATCTAAAAGTTTTGAAACACATATGTAAAACAGCACTATGATATCCGAAAAATGAGTAACAATGCACATGGCAGATCCACCATTGAACGTTTTTTTTCTGCATAAATTCAAATCAACATTTCTGTATTACTTACGTTCTTCTTTTGATATAAGGGTCAACAACATCAATCCTACGTTTCGACATAATTCTTGTGTCCTCGCAGGCAAGCAACAGCAAAGACTGTTTACCTGAAATCCGTTCCGAGGCGTCACAAAATGGCAAGCCACAGGCCTAAAGCCAAACCTGCAACCGTGACTATAGACCTACGTCGTGAACTCAGACAGAAGGAAATATGACGCATGCGCAGTTAGATTTAAATTTTAATTTATACAATTTTTCATGAACACACACATTTCAATATCGTATATTAATATATTTAAATGTGCTAATATTTTATTAGTTATTCTTATCAAGTTAATTAATCAATTTGATCTTCTTTAGGATGAAAATGAAAAAATAGGTATACAAAAAGGATGTATCTTATAATATATATATATATATATATATATATATACGTATAGAACGTATATACGTATAGAAGTATATATATTTATATTTATTACTATCGTATTATGTATATGCTAGAGAAAGTGAGTTCCCTATACATATATATATGCATAACTTCAAAGAGAATTTTCGAGGTACAAGAGTTGATTAAAATGGCAAAAGTCCAACATTTCCTCTTTAGATGACGCTTTGATCGCCGAAATGGAAACTATGCAGTACATAGTAACTCTAGGTCCATCTTCTCTTTTTAACCTAAGTGCCTGAGTCGGTCTAGATGATGTTGGGATAATTATAAAATTTGTTAGTTGTCAGGTTTGCTCACATTGTATAAATTATAAATATATATTTTATGCAAATAATTCCAAGCTCCATTAAATAATGATAACTTAAGTGGTCATATGACATAAGATTTCTGTAATAAATGGATTTATTGTTTTCTTGAATCTCTTTATTTTTGAATTTTGTCTATTAATTCATTGTAAAAGTTCGTTAAATCAATTTAACCATTTTGGATTTAATACGAATTTAGCAGTTCTTGGTTATGAATTTAAAATTCGAGCAATTGCATAATCAACTCCAATTTTTCTATTTACCGGCTCATAAATATCAGAACTGCTGGTTATTGAGAAAAAGGAGTAATACGATATTTAAACATTATATAGATAGTATTACATATGAATAACAATCAAAATGGCAACACCAACCAACGGTAATGGTAACCTTGTTGATGAATTTGAAGAAGCATTTCAGGTAAATTATTTAACTTTATACTAAAAGTAATTTATTTTCTAATACATTTGGTTTTCTGATTCATATTAGTGAAAGTATAAATAAATCTTTATTTAAATATTTTTCTTTCCAATTATTTAAAGTAAAATTTGTAATAAAATGTTTAACTTATAGCAATGTTTAAGTATATTAACAAAGGACGAAGGTTCAAGCAACAGCGGAATGGGTGTAAGCAGTGGCTTAACGATAGATAAAGAAGAAGCTCGTTGCGAAGTAGATCAAGTCACTTTAAGATTTACAGATTTGGCTAGACAAATGGAAGCTTTCTTTCTACAAAAAAGATTTTTACTATCAGCATTAAAACCAGAATTGGTAGTAAAAGAGGATATATCTGATTTAAGGCTGGAATTAGCACGCAAAGAAGATTTGATTAAAAGACATTATGATAAGATTGCAGTATGGCAAAATTTATTATCAGATTTACAAGGATGGGCCAAATCTCCTGCACAAGGACCTGCACCTAATGGTAAATAATATGCTTTTTTATATTTTATTTAAATTTATATAACTTTTAATTTATATTCGTAGGACTACCAAATGGATCTCAAGGTGGTCAAACACAACAAGCCGGTAATGGCAGTGGTGGATCCACTATGCAGCAACAACAGCAGTTATTACAACATCAACAACAATTACAACAGCAACAACAACAACAGCAATTACATCTACAGCAACATCAAATGCAACAACAGCAACTTCACCAACAACAGGTACTTAAGTAATACCGTTAAACCTAAAGTTATAAATCCTGTTTTATAGCAGGTAGTCAAAATCATATAGGCATTGGTAAATTATTCCATGACATTATTTAGCAGAGAATTTACATTTTATGATCATCCCAAAAATTATATTATTCTGCTAATTATTTGGATTAATAATGGGAAGGGGATTACTAAAGAATAATATATTCATACAACTGAGAATTCATTTATCTAGAAAGTTCTTAAGGTTGCATCTTAAAATCTTATTTGCATTATAAGAGATTGTACTCAATGTAGTATTTTTATTTTTATTCTAACCAAATATTTATTATCTTCAATCAAGTTTTTATATTATTTAGTATATGTTCAAATCATGCATGTATACTGTATAAAGAGTACATATGTTTAAAAACAAAAAAGAAAGAAAAAGAGAAAAAAAAATAGTTGTTAAGTAAATTATTTTGATTGGAATACTCATGAAAATATTAGAATCTATTTTGTTTATTTTAATGTACAGGATGCATAAGACAATGTATAGGAATGGTCCTGATGTAGAAAGAAAAAATTTATATTATTATTGTTGTATGTAATCAGTGCCTTATACAATTCCTATTTATAGAAATGTAATATATAATGCAAAGATTTAAAGTGCTTTTATAATTAACTGCGATATAGGAATACAAAAATATGAACTCTATATAAAGAAAGTATCACTGTTGTAAAATGGTGCCAAACAACTAATATAAAAATATGTACAAATGTTTAGCCAAAACTAACATAATAAAACTGATAAAGGCAATAATAAAATATAAGATTATGCATATAGGGTATGGCTGCTTACATTAACAGACTTAATAAGCTCTCAATTATATGCCCTTTAAAAATGATTGTATATATAAATATCATTTGTAGATTCGAAAAAGAAAACTCGTGCCACTCCACATATTTTGGTATAGATGAAAATATATAAAAACAAACTCATATTTTTTTACACTTTTTATCTCATAAATAATACATTTTCTTTGTCATTGTCGTTGTATTTATACATATACACAATCGCAGGAACACCTGCGTATGTATACACATGTGTTCGTGCACGCGTGTATATGATTTGAAATATTTTGTATATATATAAGATTTTTCTATTTGTAAAACAAATGATTTCTTGCATGTAAACATGTATGCATTATGCATTTGCAAAATCTAGGATTATAAAGAAAATTTCAATGGTTATTACAGATAAGTTAAAAGTCTATTAAATGGGGTAGCATAAAGTTACATGTAAAGTTCCTGCTGCAAATGCTTTAAAATACATTATGTATGAATATACACAATTTTATACTTAGATAGTAGATGTAGTATGAAGTTGAAAAGAAAAGTTTGCATCTACTTATTAAATCATTATAATTGCAAACTGATATATATGTATATATATGTATGTATATCAGTGTGTATATATATATATATATCTTATTTATGTTGTCTTTACATGCAAGTAGAAGTTTGCAGAATAAATCTCTGTTCATGCAAAACATTGTGCTTTCTTTCATTTTCCTTGCCTAAATATTGTCATTCCTGTATAATCCTATCAGTTTGGAACTACGATAAAAACCTATTTCGATGTTTATCTACATACTTATTTGTCTGTGCATATGCATGCATGTAGAGCAATCCAAAGTAGAACATTTGAATTAGGAATACATTGAGTATGAGAAAAATAATTTCTTAAACGATAAGAATATTGACGTGGGAAGAAAATAGTATATTGTATCGAACTTGTATTATTTGCGATTAAAACCTTCAAATAAGTTTAATACAAGTTATTCGGTCATAGTTTATAAATATAAAATCAATGAAACTTGTTTTCATGTATCAATTGGTGTGGATTTTCAGGTGCAACAAGGTACAGGTCCTCCACCAACATCGGGTCTTCAAGGAGTCAGTGTCTCAGTTGGACAACAAGGCATGTTCATGGCTCAGGGTGGAGTAGGAGTAACCGGTGGTAGACCTACTGGTTTTCCAGTTGGTGGTGTTGGAAGTAGTGCGCTTCAAGGCCCATTGGCTTTCCTAGAAAAGACAACGAGCAACATAGGGATGCCTGAAAGGCGGAGTTGACGCGGAAGGGGGAGGGGCCGGGGTCGGAGTCGAGGAAGAGGTCGAGGTAGAGGACGAGGTGGAGGAGGAAGCTTACCACCACCACCGTCTCTTCTCGATCCATCGGACCCCTCATCTTATGCTGCTGCTGCCGTAGTCGCAGCTGTTACGGCAGCGCCCCTTCCCTCACAACAGCAGCAACCTCCGCCGTCATGTACATGAGGATATTTCTAGCAATTAATTTTCATCTAAAAGTTGCATTACATCTTCCTCTTCATATCTTGTATTATTTAGAATTTCATAATGATTAAAGCGATTTTTATATTAATATAAAAATCCTTTAACAATTGCAGCTTGTGGTACGGGTCTAGAGTATTGTGTGTTGAAGTTACTTATGTACAGATTTATAGAATTAATAATTTATAAATATCAGGGTATCAGCGAAGAAACAACATATTTTAACAGTGCTAGTTTTATTGCTTTATTATGAATTAAAATTATCAACATACAAAGATTATTACATAGAATTCTATGTATTTGTTTTGTATTAATTATAAAAGTTTACAATGATTTATTAATCATATCAGTTTATATTGATCTTTTTAAAAGATAACAAATTAAAGAAAATTCAACATGATGTTATTGTAAAACAGAGTAAATCGCGAAGAATTTCTAATTGCGTATAAAATTGACAAGTATTGTACATAACAAAAGGTATACCATAGAAATGCGATGATATATATGAGTTAATATCAGTTCATTTTCTTTAATTTATAATTACTATTAGCTAATAAAAGAATCTTTAGATATCGAGAATGTGAGAAGTTGTATGTATGTATGTATGTAAGTATGTATGTACGTATGTATGTACGTATGTATGTACGTAACAGAAATAGTAAGCACATTTATTTGTAATCACTATATATTGTACGTATAATTCTACTGGTTATGTTATTATGAACAAATAGCTATTGTTTTATTATGCACACGACTATATTACATTGCCTTATTGATTTCTTACAAATTCCATTATTTGGTTATAGGATGTACTAAAAATAATATATGATATTTATTATAGAATTTGTTTGTTATGATTTTTACAAAATAATGCTATTTCAAATAAAAGACAGATTAAACACGCAATGATGTCGACAATTTATAATTGTACTGTAAATGCATTCATCTTGTAAAATGATATAAATACAACTTTCATAGGTATTCAATCATTAACAATAAGATATAAAATTGTGATTGTCAATTTTATACATGTTAATAGACCTTACTTCTTGGTTTCATTTAATGTACATATTATATTGGATTATTTTTATATTATATCTTTTATGTATGTATATGCACGCGTATACAATATATAGAAAAGATAATCTTGCAATTCCAATTTAAATTAGGAAGTGGAAGAAATCAATTGTAAAAATTGAATAAGGGTACGAGTTGGACGCCCTGTCATTCCTGCCGGTATATATGGTAACTCATCATTTCCAGGACCCATTACTCCTGCAATATCTAAATGCATCCACGGAACATCATTTCCTGCAAATTCACGTAAGAAAGCTGCGGCAGTACAGGATCCGCCACCTTTACATTTTGCTACATTGTTAACGTCTGCTGCTTTAACTTTTTCTGAAAATTATTATAATTATATAAAGTATTCAGTTTTTCTTATAGATGCCAACGGAATTTGTTGATATTAGATTTCTTACTTGTTACTTCATCTGTGTAACATTGCCACAGCGGAAATCTCCAGACTCTGTCGCCAGAAACTATACCAGCTTGTCTTAAAGTTTCAAAAAGTTCAATATTATTACTAAATACACCTGTAGCTGCACCAGCTAGCGTAATTCTCATAGCTCCTGTTAATGTTGCAATATCCAAAATGAATCTATAATAAATTTGATTATTAATAATTAACAAATGCAATAATACAAATGAAAGTTAAGCTAAGTACTAGAATTACTTTGGCTTGAATTCATGAGCATAACAAAGAGCATCTGCAAGTATAAGTCTCCCTTCTGCGTCCGTATTGTCTACTATAATACTTTTTCCATTCATTGCAACAACTAGATCGCCAGGCTTTGTTGCAGACCCAGATGGTAAATTTTCCGTAAGAGGAACTAAACCAATAATATTTACTTTCAATTTAAGCTCTGCAGCTGCTTTAATAGATGCTGCTACGCATGCTGCTCCGCTCATATCCGCGCGCATTTCATCCATATCAGAAGAAGGCTGAAGAATACCATGTTTTAATATTTGTTATAAATTTGGTAACACGTTTCAATAATCTTACCTTTATGCTAATTCCACCAGCATCAAATGTAACACCTTTGCCAACAAACGCAATCGGAGCTTCATTATTATCAGCACCTTTGTAACTAATTTCAAGAAATTTAGGTGGCTCCAAACTGCCACGTGATACACTCAAGAAAGAACCCATCTTCTTTTGTTCTGCCCATTCTTTGTCATGAATTTTCACACTGATTTTTAATGTATTCAGAGTCGATGAAACTTCATTTGCAAATATTGTAGGTGTCATTAAATTAGCTGGTGTATCAGCAAGTTTACGTGCCCAGTTTTGTGCTGAAGCCTTAACAATTCCTTTTTGCCACTCATTTCTAAATATGTATAAATTTTATCAATATTTATATTATTATTATTATTATAAATATTATCATTATTATAACCATATAACTTTTAAATTCATCTAATTAAGATGATTCACTCACTGGCCTTCTTCGCCATAAAGAGAAACTTGCGGTAAAGTTTCTCGTTTCTGTTTACTTTTTAATCCTTGGTAATACCACGTAGAAAGACCAGCACCTTCAGCTGCTGCTTCTGCATCTCCTAATGGTTCTAGTTTTATATCTTTTATTTCAAAGGCATTCAATGCACGACAGCCAGCTAGAGAAAATAATAATTTTTATACATATGATATAATCCTTAGAAGGATTTTTATAATATTTAATAATAACACAATAATTATTACTTAATTTAGAGAGAAAATAGATGAGTTTTATTTATTTATTAAAATCATACCTGCTGCAGCCGCACGTACGCTTTCTTTTCCTTCATGAATTTCTTCTAATATATTGATACCAAGATTTGATTTTCCCAAGCCAACTACTGCAACTCCGGTATAATCAGTTTCGTCCAAACCCCAAAATACTCTAGCATGACCTTTTGGAATCTTTGGACCTGCTCTATAGTAGTATAAGCAATTATTTACTATGAATATTTATACATATTCTATAATAATGGAATAGTAGATAAGGGATGATATATATACATACTAAGTAAATTATATTAAAAATAAATTGAGACACAAATTTATATCTTTATTAATTACAATAAAATCTAGGCATCTGTGACACGAGTCATGTGCTATATTATTTGCAATTTTAAAATACAATCTAAAAATATACTATTTTTTACATTATGTGTCTTATAATATAAGTTTTTTTAATAATTATTCTACACGTAACCACATTTATAATTATGCTTTCAAGATTCAACTATATCTATTTGTATTGATTTACAACAATGTAGTTTCATCTACAAAGAAGTATTAGAATTTGCATTATAATAAAAACATTGAAACTAGACATCACAATTGGTTGCATATTCTTTTTGTATACCACCTTCATTTTAGACTTATTTAAGAATCTGCTTTTAATGATACACAATATGATTTAATATAGGATTATACATTTCTCAGTAAATAGTTCATATTGTTTATATACACTTAGTAATGCATATAATGACTCTCTGTGTGTGTGTGTGTGTGTGTGTGTGTATCAAGAGACTTCATTCATAATATTTTAAAAGTGAATCCATGGAAAGATGCTAACAATTGTCCTAATACATGATTTTTTGCAAAATAAATGATTTACTTAAAACAAAATATATAGTAATCTAGATTTAAGTATTAACTAAATATAGCTTAATTATTTTTATTAAAATATACTCAAAATTTTCTTTGTTAAATATAAAATGTACTTGAAGAAATTTGTGCAAATTATTTTCTCTTTTGTCTTATGATAAGATTTGGCACAAATTATACTTGTATCTTTTTATATCTGTTTGCTCATAAAAATTCATATATTCTAGTTATTTAGTTTAATAATTAAATTAGGCTACTCCAGTATATAAGATAATGAATATTAATAGTATATATATTTATGCACTATGCATATTGTATATTGACATCAAATGCATCAATTATTTTTTTTTTTATGAACTGCACATTAAGATTTTAAATAGAATTATTTGATAAACTTAATTTTCTAGGTACTCACTCTGTATACATGGCAACATGGTTTTCACATGGGCATTATAAGTAATATTTGTAATTATGTAAGTTATATTTGTAATCATCATTCTCGGTCACAGAAAATTTATAATACTTTAGTTAGAGGTACAAAAATACTTAAATCAATGTTGATTGTACATAACAATTGCCAAGAAAAAAAGATTCTTTTAAATTCAATGTGTAAGAAATATGTGTTAATTGCATTACCAATTTAACATAACATTATAAGAAAGATATTTAAAAGTTATAACTTAATATATATATATACTACAAAAAATTATTACCACATTCCTAGCAACCGTTTATGATTAACATTCAGTCTATATTTTCAATTATATCTAAGGATATTATATTCAGATGTAAATATTGTAAGTAACGTTACCTATGTATATATATATATATTTAAATTTTCAATTCGGTCATAAAATAGAAAGAAATATTTGTGCTGTCAATATATTCAAGACATACCCATCTGAACTAGGTAGACTTCATTAATGAAAATCTTTATAATAGGAAACTTTATTTCAGCCTGTATTAAGTTAGAATATTTAGAATAATTTTTCTGCCTCGTTGTTTAAATGTGAACATAAATTAGGTCATATCGAAAAATACACCAGCACAAATCCTAAATATTTTTATTTAATCTTACTGTATAACTTATGCATTGCTTTACTAATTAAAATCAAACAAATTCTAATATTTTGATAATTCCTTGAGAATTTGCAGCTACTATAACATTGGACATTTGTCTCCAACACACTGCTGAGACAAATTCGTTTAAATCTTCCTCTTTTCGATCTTGAATTTCTAATATACTACGCACAGCATCAAACTTATATGAGAATAATTGTTTTGTTAGTCCTTTGTAATACACATAAAGTGCATTATTTTCTGAACCACAGGCTACATAGTCACCATCCGTGGCCAGCCCTACAAAATTTTTTTCATTAACATGTCCAATAAAAGATCTTAGGCAATGAGGATTATTAATATTCCACATCTTTAGTTGTGAATCAGTACTTGCCGATACAATCTCTTCCTTATTAATAAATTTAACATAAGATACAGCTTTACGATGTCCTTTGAAAATACGCAAGGCTTCTTTCATATTACGTAAATCATAATAATGAACACAATGATCAGCAGATCCAAATGCCAAGTGACACGAACTACATGGATTAAATTTTACACAACAAACATTAGCTTTTGCTTCTAAAGATGCAACAGAATGATCTGTATTCAAGGACCATAATTTAACTCTTGCATCATCCGATCCAGATGCTATAAGTCTAGTGTCAACATCATTAAAATCTACAGACCAACATCTCTTTTCATGCTCTTGGAAGGTTTTAATTCTATGACCTGTTGCAGCATCCCACACTGTTACAGTTCCTTCATAATCTGACGAGGCTAACATTCCTTTGTGGAAAGAATTCCATGAAACACACGATATTTTAGAACTGGAGACCATTTCTATACTAGGATAATGAATATCAACTGTATCATGTATCACAGCACCATAATCGAATACTTTGATACGTTTAGTGACACCAGCTATTGCAAAGAATTCATTATCCTTATCAAATTCTATGCTCGAAACAATTGTAGAATTGTTAAAGATATCAGAAGAATAATTTAATGTAGCTAATGGTCGTAACGTATTATATCTGGAAAATTTAACCAGATTTTCTCGAAAGATATCAAGGCCAGAACTTGTACTATGACTTGCATCTGTTTGACTTTGAGGTTTATATCCAAGTAATAGTTCCTTAGCACGTAAATGAAAGTAACATTGCACAAAATCATCAAAATGACCATGCATTCTTTTTCTACGAATAGCCAAGGTTGAACTACTTCCATATTCAATTTGTTTTTGACTACCAGACGGGTTTGTAAATGATTCATTTCCTATCGTTCTATCGTTAGGTTTTACCATATTAGAATCAATTATATCTATAAGACCGATCATTTCTCGTCTGATAGCAGATACTTGTGCCGTATCATTTTCACTTGATTTTTTTAAATCTTCTACACGTGGACATTTATTTTGAACGTCTTTTAGAATATTTTCAACTTCTTCCATATCACGTTTAATTAAAGCCATCTCCTTTTGTAACTGATTTTTCTGCTCTTCTTTTTGTTGTAACAAATGTTTTAAAAATTCGTGTAAAAGTTTATTTTGTATAGCGCATGTTTCAGCTTCAAGTAAGTGCTTTCTTTGTGTTAACACTTCCAACATTACATTAACATCAGGCAGAGTTAGATGAGCGCTTTCTACAGCAACTATATCTCTTAAACCGTCACGTGAAAGTACAGATAATTCTGTTCCTACCCTATTTTTACTATCTCCTACGTTTGAAGAGCCTAATTTAGAAAGGCCCTTGATTCTCGTTTTATATTTTGTTACTAATTCATTTAACAAGAAATTAGGAAATATATCCTGCTGGCTTAAAGCGAGACTACATTTTGGACATCTACTATTAGCTTCTAAAGACTTCACGATGCAATGATAACAAAAAGTGTGACCACAACGAGTGATATGTGCTTCATCGATTAATTCAAAACAGATCGGGCATTGATAATCATTATTTCTGTCTTCGAGCGAACTGCCAATTCCAAGTAAAATATTGCTGGAATGAAGGTGACGCTTCACATTTCTACTAGATTCCCCTATACCTCTACTGCTTCCTGCCCCACTATCACTTCCTAAATTACCATCCCCATTAGACGACATTACTCTTGCATCATCGCTCAGTCTAGTCTTTCCTGAAACAATCAAAATAATGCTATTGAGCTCTAAAAATAAAAAATAATCTACTCTATACTGAAAGTTGTATTATAAAAAAATAAAAAATATAAGAAGAACTTTTGATAATAATTTTTCATACAAAAGAAGAAAAGAATTTGAATATCTTAAGAACATAGCTCGAGCAGCATTATAACAATTGTTTCAGGCTGGAAATGTGAAGAATATATGTAAATGTATTGATACTAACTATACCAAACATATGTAAGTGAAAGATTAGATGCAATATTACATAATCTATAGAAAATGATTTATCTTTATTGTGTTCTCATAGCAGAATACTCGATATACCTCATTAAACGATAAAATGTTTGCATTTATAAATATACAAAGGAAAAAAAAAAATCTGTGAGAAACAAATTAATAAAGCATTATGATGTTAAAAGTATGCATATATGGCTGAATCAAATAATCATATGTAAGCAAAAAAAGATAGGTAAATTAAGAAATCTAACAAAAGGAAAACAATCAGAATCGATAAAGTGAATAAATAAAAGCAATGATAACATTACAAATAATTAACATATAATATGCCATTTAAGGTTACAAGACACGATAGAAATATTTGAAACTTACAAGCAAATATGTTTTAGTAGTTTCCCTTGAACTCGTTCATTGTACTTAGCTGCTGCAGGAGTTAAAGTAAAGCTTTCATCATCTGCCTCATATACCCCAAGCACCAAACCTTTCTGTTGAAGAATTAAAAACAATACAATTATATAAATTCATCAAATCCTTTATGCAATTTGGTTTTACATCTGAATCAACATATTTATTTGGATTTTGATAAAGATCAGAATTTTAGATACTACTTAAATATATCTTATTTAAGAGACTAATATTGTGCTATTAGTTTTTAAAAATTAATTTTACAATTGCGTTAACAAATAAAAACGTGCAGATAAAATAAGCATGTTCTGCTTTAACAATCTATGTTTCAATCAATCAACATGCTAAAAGTATTAACTAGACGATTTTATTTAAATATATATATTCTCGGGATTAGACAGAAATTATGAATTACCTTCATTGTTGAATAAGTTTTAAAAAACAGTAACTGCGTCTTTATGTATCGTAGCCCCTTACTCCTGATAAGAGACAACGCCATAATTTGTTCGAGAGAACATTATGAATACGCATTATACATATATATATATATATATATATATATATATATATATATATATATATATATATATATATATANAAAAACAGTAACTGCGTCTTTATGTATCGTAGCCCCTTACTCCTGATAAGAGACAACGCCATAATTTGTTCGAGAGAACATTATGAATACGCATTGTATATATATCTATATATATCTATATATATCTATACGTATATATATATATATGAATGTATGTATATATCTATACAGAATGATTCTTCAAAAATAAGTTTACCTTGATTACATTCGTTTCTCGGTTAATTTAAATTAGAGTGAGATAGCACTTCCATTTTTGATGCTTTATAGTTCTTTTTCAATATTTGATTAACTTTTTACAAAGAAATTTCATATAGTAATTTTATTCTGAACCAATAGAAAGTAACGAAAGATGGAAGAACTCCTTCTACTCGGTCGATAATTTCGATAGATAAAATAGATTCATTGAACAATTAACTATTCATATTTCAGTCTTTTCTTAATCGTCACATTTTTATAATTATTTTAATTACTTATAGACGGCTTTATTAATATCAGTTTGATAGACTTGTAATTAATTATATGATATTACATTTTTTTATATGAACAAATTTCAGATTTTAGAAAAAATATATATTTTTATATATTTTTATGGATACAATTTATTTGAAAGATCACATTTATACTTAAAAATATTTATATTTAAATATTATATATAATACAGAAGTAACAGACATTTAATATACATTGTGAAATATATGTTTACGTCATATTTACTTTATACTGAACAAGATAGCATATCAAATAAAAAATTTAACTTAGTGTAATTATTATTTTTAAAGTTAAGCTACTTATATTAAATTTTTAAATTTACGTTATTAATTCATTGCATCTTTCCATATCTAGAATATTCTTGATAATGTTCTGTCTGAGCTAATAATAAGGAAGGTGGCGGTGCTTGAAGATGTTCTTCGCCACCATATCGTTTAATAATACTTTCTCGTGCCTTATCTTTTAGTTCATCCCTCTTTTTATCATATTCTTGTTTCAATAATTCTAATTTTGTAGGTTCAGCAAGTAAATGTACATCGACTCCTTTCTCGTGTGCTTCCCAAGCAAATAATTGAGCATTTGCGTGTTGCTGTGTATCTCCTGAGAAACGTACGAAATTTCCTCCTTTGTAATCCACTCTGTAAGAAATAATAATATTTATCATGGATAAATAAATATATTATAATATATATGAAAAGGAAGAAAATTAAAAAAAAATAATTTATATATATAAAATATAATATAGAATAAAAATATAAAACATACTCTCTATCTGTTCCTACATAAGGATTATCACGCATAGATCTAGTTTTAGGATCATAATACGCGGATTGAAGATCCAAATTGCGAAGATATTTAGCCGTATCTTCTCGAATTCTTAGATTTCTAACAGTAATACGTTGTTTAGAATCGACTTTAGTTCCAGGCATATCAACTTCATCAACGTATTTGTCTTCATCTTTGTCTGAATCTTGTTCATCATTTTCTTCAGCATTGAGTTTTTCTGCGCGCATTTGTCTTTTAGCTTCTTCAATTTTTTGATATTCTTCTACAATGGCTTTGTGTTCGGACAAATCATAACCAGCCCATCTATATAAAAAATTGGATTGTTTAAATTAAGTAAATTTTAAATTTGTAAGAAAATAAATCCACACAAGTGGACGGGAATATTTATCAGTCAACGGGTAACAACGGGAAATGTTTAACCCGTTTGCTATGATAGAGTTAGTTATTAATTTATTACTAATATTTGAAAAGTTGAATCATAAGTGTATATTTTACAATAGAATGTAACATTTGATATTTTATTATATTATGTGAATTTATTCAATTAATATAAAACAAATTATAAATGATATACCAACAGAACATTGGTTACCATGAAGTTACCAAAGTATGTTATGTTCACCCAAAGTTCTTAATTCAAACTATGGTCATTTTTATTATAAAACAAGCGTTCAACGTTAAATGATTATTCATCATTAACAAAAAAAGAGTTAACCATAAGATATAATAGTACATACCTATCTCTTTTACCATCATAATCAACGCACAGATCAGGCTGTGCGAATTCATCTGGTGCAATATCTCTATTTGTAAACTTAGCTCCTATCTTACGAGGCCTTTCCATACATTCCTTCTTTTTATGTGTCATAGCACCACAATTTTCACATGCACCTTTACGGTATTTTGTTGCAACTTTATCTGTATCTACACCACGTTTGTACCACTCATCTATTCCACTAAAGTATTTTCGTTTCTCAGGTTGAGGTCTTTGATGTTTTAATGTAGGACCCTAAAAAGTATTATTGTATAAATTATATGATATGAAACAATGAGCAATAATTTAACAACACAATATAATTATCAAATATTTTATACCTGTGCACCAAAATACCATGGTGTTGCACTAATATATTGTGGAATATGTGGATTTATATCTTTGCCTTCTTCATCAACAGCAGCAGGTGCTGTACCTGCTTTTCTTGCCTCTTCTAATTCTTTTGCTTTCCTCCAATCTTCTCGACTCTTTTTTCTTGGCTCATCTTCACAAGCAGTCTTATCTTTTAAGATTTTCGACACGGGTACATTAGCAACTGCATTGGCCATTTTTTAATAATAATTATTATAGTCACTTATGATTAATATATGTTCACCCACGAGTAAAGTCAGATAGATTTTACCCACGTTAATGAAAACTATATAAGTCATGACTCGAAGGAAAAATTTAAGAAAAGAATGCCGGAGGCGCCAAGCTTTGGCGTGACGGCCACAAATATTGCTGCCAAGTGACATCTATCGCTAAAAATTCGAAAAAATATCTGTCAAAACATTTCTAATTGGTTTGTATTTATCTTTAATTATGCAATTAATTTTAATAATACTATTTGTTACGTTCTCTCTCAAAAATATGATAATTTAATATTAAATTAGAAATATTATAGTTATAGATAGTTTGATTTTAAGATTGTTGATAAATATTCGAAGAGGAGGGGTGATTTGAGCATAAACCAAAAATTGTGAGATAAATATAAGTAAAGTAATGATAAGACATTGTAAAAAACTTTGTAAGTTGTGCAATAAAAACCTGATTATATATATATATATATATATANTTAAATTAGAAATAAATATTTTGAAATATTTTATACATGTATGTAGAATTATACACAATTACTGACCGTCGTTACTTTGTGACATATTTTTGTTCTCATGTAATGTAAAATATTGGACAACTATAAAATCCTATGATAATTATCTCTTAAACATATACCGACGAAAGATATTCTAGAAAAATGGAAGTCGCTGTTCTAAAATAATTCAAAATATAAAGGTAAAGCAAAGTCGTCATAATAACTTATCTTTATTCTTTCAATACATTTATCAGAAAATTGTTCCATTTCTATTGGTCGATTTCATCAAATTTGGATGCATAAAAACAAACGTCGTTGCTGTTGCAAAAAAATGGCGACTGTCACACTGTATGTGATTCGAGGCTATGTCTCACATTATACATCTGTTAAATATAGTATAGTGCATATATATATGCATACATACATACATATTATATATATAACAATATAAAGTATATTACGATAATGTGATTAAACCTAAAACATATATTTTTAAATTTTTATTTAAAAAAGTATTTAAATAATTAACATAAAATAATACATTGAAAATTTCTCAATTTATTCGTACAAAATATGTAATATATTTTATTACAAAAATAAAATTAAACGGAAAAGTCTCATAAATCATTTGAATATGGTTACAACCAACCAATTATACAGCAATAAAAAAAATTATCCGTTCGAGTCTATTTATCTATATGAAATATTTTTAAGCAAACCAAATATTTCTTATTATTTACTAGATATTAAATAGTTTTAAAAAAATATAAATAAAACATTATCCAATGTTTACTAATTCAACTAAGAAATGTGAAATCAATGTAGACACTCGCCATTGTGATATGGTTACTGTTCGGCAAAATCGTTAACCTTACACCATATTTGTTTATTCGCGATCGTATTTAATATGAAATATATTTATCACGATGTTTAGATTTATAATAAATAAAAAATTAATTCATTAATTTACAGAAGAAAATAAAAAATAAATTTAAAGAAAACGCAGGTGAAAAGTTGATTTTGCAATGGATTGCAATTTTTTGGCGGGAATCTGTTAGCACGACATGTTAAGAGGGGGAAAGCTTCATATATGTATAGCGAATCGGAGCGCGATGCATCGCTTCGGGTAGATCAGTCGCATCTCGCTATTCGTGCAAGGACTTATGTTGTGCAAGTCGATTTCTGTAATACGTATACAAAGCATAACCCGAAGAATAAAACGATGCGCTATTATCAAAAAACGAAAAACTGAAAAAGAAGAGTGAAAGAAAAAAAGGGTAGGAAGGGTGAAAGAAAGGGAAAAGAGAGGGAAGAGCAACGAGGGAATAAGAGGAAGAGAGAAAAAAGAGAAGAGCATAAAGAGTCACTGCTTCTCGCCGACTTAACGTGAAAGACGGTGCATAGCGTAGAAACGCACGGCGTCTCGTAACCGGCACATTACGACGCGCGCACCGGCAATCGCCTTTGTCTCTCTGCCACACTACGCAAATTCCGAGGTGAGTCCGCTTCTCATTCTTATGACGTGATCGTTTACGGATTATTTGCGTCGCCAGAGATACTTATTTTTGCGTTATATATCTCGATTGAATTGTTCAATTATTTTTTTCTTTTTCCTTATTTTTTTTTTTTAGTTCCTTCACAATTTTTCCCTTCCTAATTTTTCGAGGATGTTAAATTAATTAATTTTTTTTGTTGCGATGCGGTGCGAAAAAGGACGGAGGGTGGGAGTGAGAGAATAAACGAGGGAGGCAAAGAGAGACAGTAGATGGATGCGAGCTTCTCGATTCTTGCGTGATGCCATGATTTGTCAGCCATGGCGTCTCCGGTAGTAAGGCGAGGCTTTAGTAGAATCTACTTTGATAGCTTCTCTATCAAAAATCTGTAATCATTAATATTTTCTCCAAAAATTTTTATCGCCCAATTTAAGACATTTTTTTTTCTATTTATCATTTATTTCAGACTAAATATTATGTTGTATAAATAGCATACATTTATTCAAAGATTTTGAAAATGGCGGGCGCGGAACTTTCAGAGAATATTTTCGTACGGAAGTGATCTATAAAAATTTCGAAAAATAATATTATCTTATGATGTTATTTTTATTTAAAATATATTTTTTTTAATTAAATATTATATTTTTTTTATTTTTTTGTCATATCAATTCACATTATAATCAAATTGAAATGTTTACTATAAAATGCTTCAATAAATGGTTCATTAATATTCTGGCTTCTATAGCCGAACACCAATTTCGTTTGGAAGTTTGCAGAATAATATTTCGTTCACGAACAAAAATTATTATTTATTTATTTATTTTAAGAATCTATATTTATAACGTTATACGATACTGCAAATTTACTAATATTGTCAAAGTTTTGAAAATCAATAAGTTTGCTTTCTAAATTTTTATATAATTTTTAATTTTTCATTAAATAAGAAAAAAATAATTGCTAAATTACAATAGGTTTTTTATCAATACTGCATTAAAAAAAATTATATAGCAATGAAACATATAGGCAGTAATAATTTATTTAATTAATTTGTATTTTTACAGAAAAAATAACACTTAATATGTCAGACGACAATTCACCTGTTGTTGAGGAACAGAAAAAAAAACGAGGGCGACCAGCGAAAACAGATAAGAATACTGTTAAAGAACCCAAAAAGAGAGGAAGGCCAACTTCAGATAAATACAATGCAGTACGTGCATCAAAATCTGATAATGAAGATGATGCACCACCAGGACCTGTCAAAAAAGGTAGAGGTAGACCTAAAGGATCACATAAGAAAAAAGTATGTAAATATGTAATCTTTTATTTTTGATAAACTTTATATCGAGCAATTATTTGTTAAAATAATAATTTTTAATTTACAGCAAGGTGCACCAAAAGGTATAGCTCCTTCAGGTCGAGGACGTGGTAGACCAAAAAAAGTAGAAGAAAAACCTGAAAGTACTGGAGAAGAAGAGGACGAACAAGAAGAGGAAGAAGAAGAAGAAGAGAATTGAATAATATGGAATCATCTGTTTTATCTAAAGCATTTGCTAATTATTCAATCTTTGTGTTATAATTATTTTGTATATTCTACAAATATCAAATTTGAATTTAGTGAAAATGACGACTAATTTCGTAAAAGAAATTATAAATATTAACAATTATTTGGAATATTAATATATTTGCATATTTCACATTCGGAGAAGTGATCATAAAAAATATTTATAAAGTAATATAATTTTAATAAAATGATAAATTTTGTATCATGTGTATTTGTAACATTACGAGAAAAAAGAAGATTATATACTTCAAATTTTCACAAAGATATTTATGTTTCATAAATGAATTAACTAAATTCCTAGATGCATTTAAACATTTTGTATTTTATAAGATACATTGTATGGTCTTTCTGGCATCACTTTTCCACTACCTCCTGTACTTCTATATCGTATGCTATAATTCTATAACACAAGATGATGTATCATTATAAGAGATAGAACACAAACAAGGGAATATTAGCATTTTTGAAACAAACATATGTGTGAATGTCAAATTTGTATTAAAGTAAATAAATTCATGAAATACTCTTATTATTTTTATCTTTAAGTCATTTTTACTTACGAGATTTATTAATGATATTTCTAATTTTTATTTTTAATTCAATATTGATAAAATAATTTGAATAAATATATTTTGTATGCAAAACAATATTCACAAATAATTATTATCGTATTTTATTTTATAACATTCTTCTTGTTTTTTAAATTTGTAACGTTTCATCTTATGTATATCATACGAGATTTATTTTTTTTAATATTTGTGATTGTAGATCAAACTTTTATTTTATACTATCTACTAAAATATGCTTTTTTTATTTCAATGAAGGTCTTATTATACACACACTTACATTAAAAATATTTCATGTAGTTCTATGAATTGTTCTGCATACATACTATTAAATTTTGAAAATTACAAATTGAACGATACAAAGAATAAACATTTTAATTGTAAGCTTGTGACAGAAAATGTTAGTAATGATTTGCATGCTATTGTTAAGATTCTTGATTTATGGAAATTCGTTATATGCATATATATAATCTGTTATTAAACAAACAGATACAAATATAATTTGATTAATATAAATTAGTTATGTTACAGAAACTATATTTATGCAATTGTTACATCATAGAAAAAATAGAAGAGTGAATTATATATATAAGATTACAACGTTACAATGTTAATTGCAATAATTATTCATGATCACGCTACTTTGTTAATGAGAGTAATCGATAATAACTTAAAAATAATATAAAGCTTTTTTCAGACAACAAAAGGCACTAAAGTCAGACATTTTAATGTTTGATTTAGACCATGATTATTAAATAGGTAAAAGTTTAAAATACTATCTTTGTACTTTAATACATTGTTTTCTATAAAAGCTGCAATTAGAAGATATGAGAAAAAATGTAGTTAGTTAAAAAATCTATTAATTCTATCGGTTGCATTATACAATATCTTTGTATATATCTGGAATTCATTTTTTTTTTTACATTATAATTTAATACTGTTATATTAAGCATATCTCAATGATCATCTATATTAATAATGCAGAGAAGGTAAAAGATAATTGATAAAAAAATAATTGATATTCTGTCAATGATCACCAAAAAGTTCAGCATTATCTTCTGCGTCCATGGATTGGTATCCTTGCTGTAAAATTAGTCTTTTTAATATTTAATGTACTTTCATATTCGCTCATTGTTATATATATACACACTCGTCTTTGATGATTACTATTATAAGATTCATCCAATAGTTCAGTTTCCCAGTCATCTTCCTCTTCTTCTCCAGGATCGAAATTGTACATTGGCATTAGTCTATGCCTTAATCGTTCCAACTTTCGTTTTCTCGATATAAAAAATACCTTCAAAAAGATTTTATTTTCCAAATATATATTTAATACTGTTTATGATATATTAATATATCATCATTGCTACGTGAAAAGATTTTATAATGATATATAATTAATGATAAAATATGGTACATTTTGCAATATGATTTTTTTTTCTCTATTCCATCTATTCATTCTAAAATCATACATGCTATGTAAATATATACACACATATCATTTTATACATAAAAAGAATTATCTATTAAATATATAATAATAATATGCTACTATTATATTAATATTCAGATATATA